CATGATGTTGCTAATTGGTCTAGTTGTGAGGATTTTTATTTTCTTTATGTCGAGCAGTAATGCATACTGAAGGCTGTAGTCTTTGATCTTCATCGGTAAGTGCTTCAAGTCCTCTTCCCTTTCAACAAGCAAGGTTGTGTCATCTACATGTATCAGGTCGTTGATGAGTTTTCCTCCAATCCTGATGCTGCATTCTTCTTCATACAGTCCAGCTTCTCGGATTACTTGCTCAGCATACAGATCGAGTTTAAGTATGCTGAAAGAATACAAAACTGATGCACTCCTTTCCTGACTTCAAACCATGTAGTGTCCTCTTGTTCTTTTCCAGAGACAGCTTCTTTGTCTATTAACAAGCTCCTCATGAGCACATTTAAGTGTTCTGGAGTTCTCATTCTTAACAGTCTTATCCATAATATGTTATGATCCTCACAGTCGAATGCCTTTGAATAGTTGTCATATATATATATAGGAAATTGTATATTTTAAAGGTAAGCAAGTGAAGGTTATCTAGCTAACAATTTCAGATCTAAATGTTAGCTTGGTATCCACTCTGTCTCTCCTCTTAAACTTCAGTTACAGAGATTTAAGTTAATCTAGTCCTCAGTATAATGGCACAATATCATTTATTCATACAAGGCCTCTCTGCTATCTATCTATCCATCTATTTATCTATCTGTCTGTATTAGTTTGTTCATTCTCTTATTTCTTCCTCACTTCCAATCCCCTGTTTTGTACTTTCTGTTTTTTGAGGCTTGGTGAAATTTTGGAAATTTACAAATTCCTTCAGGAGTTCCTTTTCCTGTCTTATCTCTGCTACTTCCCATCATGTTCTCTTAGATCTAGACATGTAGAATGCTTGCAGTTGCCTGAAAACGGCATATTTCTTTCAAGAGTAATAGCATAGAATATAGTTTACATTTTATTCAAGGAAAAAACATACAATAATAATCTCTGTATTAAGTCAGTTATAGAGGTCAATTTCTGAATATATACTGAGAATCAAATTCATAGAGTCCCTTTTGATTACTTACATATCTAAAGAAGAATAGACAACTGAGAAAGTCAATTGGTTTCTTATGTATAAAGAGGGAATATTGTTAGTATGGGGGACATGATAACACACCAGGATTTTTATTTCAAAATGTTTCTTCCTTACCTCATCTGACTCCATTTTAATATTTTTAGCCTCTTATTCACCTCCCTTTTTTCTAATATTTCATCATATTATCTTCTATGTTGTTTTTTACAAAAAATTCTACTTATTTATTTAGACTTAAATGCTGATGCTATTTGAAATTTTTTTCTTCCTCTAGACATTTTCTCCCATAAATGTCTTTAATTTTTACTTTTTAAAACTAAAATTATACTTTAATTCATATTTTCATTCTATGTAATAGAATTTCTTCAAAAAGCTCAATATTGTTCTTGAGTTTGCTTATATTTTTACTTTTGTTTTCTGTGTTTTAAATTCTTAACTGGCAAGAATACTATTTAAAATTTTTCTTCCTCTGATAGGAGGCTGATTTGAGAGCACGTTATTTTCCATGTGAAAGATGATATTAGGAAGCTCCTCTTAAATTTCAAGCTGTGTGTGAGTGGAAGGGTAGATCTATTACCTGTAACTCAGCAGGGAGATTTTCTCATTGTGGGTTCCCTCCGCCATTGAGTTAGGTCTCCTGGCATAATGGGACCTCCTTTCTTGTACATAACCAGAGTGCTAACTCTTTGACCCAACTTTCTAGCAAAAAATAAAACCTTCTTTGTTTAGAAACACCCTTCTCAGAGTTGCTGCTTTCCCATCTTCATCCAGCAATCTGTTGAATGATTCCTATTTAATGACTGAGTATAGGTTCTCTGCTTAATTCATAGCCTGGTTGCTGCTTTTTGGAAACTATACTCAACATACTATGTTAAAGTACCATGCACTTCCTTAGCTGATCCTGGACAATTTAATCATCCCCATTCATAAGGGAAATTGAGACACGATATTCATGACTTACAAAATTTTAGAATATTCTAATATTCTCTTCTGTTTTCCCTCCAGTATGAAAAAGTAGACCTGGTATCTTTCATAACAGGGTGGTAATTGGACTGATTTCTGGATCTCTGGGTAGGTCACTGGAGTCCCTTGATAGTTCTTTGTTGTTAACCAAAAGATTGGCAGTTTAAGTCAATGCAGAGGTGCTTTGGAAGAAAGATCTGGCCATCTACTTCTGAAATATCAGCCACTAGAAACGCTATGGAACACAATTCTACTCCGACACACATGGTGTTTCCATAAGTCAGAATCGACTAGATGGCAATTGCTTTGTTTTGGTTTAGGTAGGCATCCAGAATTAAAGAACGTAAATATATTTAACACACACTGAAACATGGAGTTGCAGAGCACAATATATTTAAAACTAGACCAAACTTAATTTTAGTAACAGCTCTAAAATTTTAAGTGATATGATGGAGATAGCGAACCAATTTTCTGAAGTTGTTTTCCTTGTTTATAACGTTGTAATTGTTAGGTGCTGTTGAGTCCATTCTGACTCATGGTGACCCCATGTACAACAAAATAAAACGCTGGCCAGTCCTGCCCCATCATCAAAATCTTTGTTATGCCTGAGTCTATTGTTGAGGCCACTGAGTCAATCAATCTCCTTGAGGGTCTTCCTCTGTTTCACTGACCTTCTACTTTATCAAGCATGATGTCCTTCTCCATGGACTGTTCCCTCCTGATAACACGTCCAAAGTACTTGAGATGAAGTCTCTCCATCCTTGCTTCCAAGGAGCATTCTGGCTGTAATTCTTCCAAGACAGATTTGTTCATTCTTTTGGCTATCCATGGTATGTTCCATATTCCTCACCAGCATCATAATTCAGAGGCATCAATTCTTCTTCGGTTTTCCTTATTCATTGTCCAGCTTTCTCAAGCACATGAGGTGATTGAAAATACCATGGCTTAGGTCAGGTGCACCTTAGTCCTTAAAGTGACATCTTTGCTTTTCAACACTTTAAAGAGGTCTTTTGCCACAGATTTGCCGAATGCAATGCATCTTTTGATTTCTTCACTGCTGCTTCCATGGGCATTAATTGTGGATCCAAGTAAAATGAAATCCTCCATAACTTCAATCTTTTCTCCTTTTATCATGATGTTGCTTATTAGTCCATTTTTGATAATTTTTGTTTTCTGTTTATTACACAATGGTAATAATTTATATCACACAAGGCTTATAAAGAATTAATGAGGAAATAAAAAAATTGTTTGAAAATAATTAGTCTAAGTGACTGGCACATTTTTTGTTGTTAGTTGCTGTTGATTTGGCTATAACTCATGACAACCTTATGTATAACAGAAGAAAACATTGCCCAGTCATGTGCCATCTTCATGACTGCATGTTGTTGTAGTTAGCTGCTGTTAGGAATTTGTGTCCCCCAAAAACATGTGTTGTAAATCTCCTAACCTCTATATTTGTGGTTATAATACCATTTGAGAATAGATTGTTATGTGAAGGAGACAGGATTAGTGTAGGGTATGTCTTTAGTTAATCATCTCTTTTGAGATATAAAAGAGATTAAAAAAGCAAGCAAGTTAGCAGAGATGGGGAAAGGGAGATGCCAAGCCACATGAAGATTGTCCAGGAGCAGAAAATCAGAAGAGTCAAGGACTTCAGAGCCAACAGAGAAAAAGCTTTCCTCTAAAGCCTCCACCCTGAAATCAGACTTCTAGCCTCCTAAACTGTGAAAAAATAAATTTCTGTTTGTTAAAGCCAACCACTTGTGGTGTTTCTATTATAGCAGAACTAGATAACTAAGACAGTTGCCATTGAGTTGATTCTGACTCATGGCAACCCCGTATGTGCAGAGTAGAACTGCTCAATAGGGTTTTCAAGGTTATGACCTTTCAGAAGTTGATCACCAGGCCTACCTTCCAAGGCAACTCTCCATGGGTTTGAACAGCCAACCTTTCAGTTAGTAGTCGGGCATAGTGTAGTATGTGTAAACAACGAGATGATTATTCCTGACATATTAGGGAGTGATTCAGTTCTACAAAGTGAAAGTGCTCAGCTGTGCTAGAACAGCAGGGGAGGTAAATATTACGGTACTTTATTGGTGCTATTTCAGTTAAACTCTGTCCCAGTAACTTTTAATTCTTTTATGAAATCATCCTGTATTATTCTGGAAACTTTAAAATAATGAATATATGGTTAAATTCTTTGTTTTCATTATAAAGTTTCCTTGTAACTGCTTAAAGTCTTGAAAAGTATTGTTTGGTCTTAAAAGCTTTAGTGCTTTGTTTAAAAAGACACTCATTTCAGTATTCTGTTCATTTTATAATAGAAAGTTTATTAAATGTGACTTAAAGTGCAGGGAAATTTAACACAAAATAACGAGAGTAAAACCAAAGAAAGCCCAAAGACTTGTATGTGTTCTTTAACTCCTTATACAGTGGAGATAATAAACTGCAGTATATTGGAACAGAGATTTCTTTTAACAAAACAAAAAAGAAAGGAAGGAAACAAGCAAAAAAGAAAAAAAAAAGCCCTATAATTATCCCAAATATTTCTACACCATTATTTCTAACTGTAAACCACTACGTTATGCCTCAAACTAGTAGAATATAATGACTTCACTGAGAATTCAAAATCTTATTTGATTTTTTTTATATATATTTCAGTAAGGGTCGTGTTCATTCCAATAGTTTCCCAAAATCTATATTTTATTGCTAAATATTAGGTTAACCCAAAGTTGATTTTACACTTGAATTCACAAAAAGTTAATGTTAAGACCATTCAATGAAAAATGTAGTTTACTCTGATTTTCTCCAAAAAACTTCCTTCTTTTCTAAAAACACGAGCATGTAAGGACAAAATTAATGCATGGAGTATGAAATAACATGTAATAAGATGCATCATGATATAATTTAAATAAAACATTATTTTAAGTAGATTGTTAATAGACTTGTGAAAATATTTAAATTGCAACTCTTCTAATTTACACTGATATCTTTACAGTGGTATGCCACAATTTACTGGAAAAAACTGTAAGGAAGTCATTGACCACTGCAATCCACTCAGCATCAACTGTCTAAATGAAGGATGGTGTTTCAATATAATTGGAAGATTCAGAGTAAGTAATTTAATATATGGCAAAGTAATGTAGCACTTCAAAATACAATGGCTTCAGCCAGTCTAATACTTCAAATATTTTTATTAATCTAAGAGTAGAGAAATATAACTTACATGTATATTTAAATGTGAGTCATATAGCCATTGGTAGTAGGAATTTTTAAATTATTTTCCATAAGAATTATATTTGGGAGGACGTTAGTAAGTGTTGTATACAGTGTTTTTATTATAAATATATAAAGAATTGTGTTCTATTTATACATCTCCCTATAAATAAAACCATAGTTACAAATGGCTTAAACGCATAAACTACATGGGAAATAAAATTAGCCTGGTGGCTGTTTGTCAGAGAATATAAAATATGGGTTTTTTTGGTGAATAATTTTTTTTAATTGTAATTTAGGTCAAGGTTTACAGAACAAATAGTTTCTCATTAACCAGTCAGTGCACATATTGTTTTATGACATTGGTTAACAACCCCATGACAAGTCAACACTCTCCCTTCTTTCTTTCTTCTTTTTGGTGAAAATATACATAGCCAAAGATAAACCATTTCAAAAATTTCTACAGGCACAATTCAATGACATCAATTATGTTCTTCCAGTTGTGCTGCTATTCTCACTTTAGATGAAGGTTTACAGAACAAGTTTCTCATGAAACAGTTAGTACACATGTTGCCCTATGACAACGGTTAACAACCCCACTACATGTCAACACTGTCCTTACTCAACCTGGAGTTCACTATCACCAGCTATCCTGTCCACTTCTGCCTTCTAGTCCTTGTCCTTGGACTGCTGTGACTCATTAGTCCCATTTTGTTTTATGGGGCTGTCTAATCCCCAGCTGAATGGTGAACCTCGGAAGTGACTTCACCACTGAGCTAAAAGGGTGTCTGGGGGCCATACTCTCAGGGTTTCTCCAATCTTTTTCAGGCCAGGAAATCTGGTACTTTTTGTGTGTGTTAGAATTTTGTTCTACATCCTTCTCCAGCTCTGTCCAGAAACTTCTGTTGTGATCCCGGTCAGAGCAGTCAGTGGTGGTAGCCAGGCACCATCTTTCTATACTGGACTTAGTTTGGTGGAGGCCTTGGTTGCTGTGGTCCATTAGTCCCTTGGACTAATCTTTTCCTTGTATCCTGTTCTCTTCATTCTCCCTTGCTTCCAAAGGGGTGAGACCAGTGGAGAGTCTTAGATGGCTGCTCACAGGCTTTTAAGACTCCAGATGCTACTTACCAAGGTAGAATGTAGAACATTGTCTTTATAAACTGTGTTATGCCAATTGAGCTAGATGTTCCCAGAGACCATGGTCCCCACAGCCCTCCACCCAGCAATTCAGTCCCCCAGGGAGTTTGGATGTGTCTATGGAGCTTCCATGCCCTTTCCTTGTACAAGT